CAAAAAAAAAAAAAAAAAAAAAAAAGATGTAAACAATTCATGGAGACTAATAAAAACAAGGTTAGATTAAAAACGACTCTATATCAATCCAGAAAATGTGCCTTAGATTTGAGTCAACTGAGAATAAGGGAGCAGCATCTGAAATACCTTAACCCAGAAACGCTGAAAAGGAAAAAGATAATAAATAGAAAACAAACCAAATGGGAAAAAATTCTCCTTAGACTCATACATTAATGCTATGACAGTTTCCTCAGCAATCTATTGTCCTTTCTGTGCTTAAAACAAGTGTACAGGTGCCAAAAGGAAACCTCGCCACTGAATGACTCACGTTCCACCTTGCTTTACTATCTCTCATTAGTCACCCTTATCTGAACTCTTTTCTTCTACATCTACCAAATGCACACCATCACTGCTTTTTTCCAGTTTCTTCTACTGAAATTTTCATTCATGTTTTCCTTTCTTCCATTTTTCCTTCCAAATGACTTCCAAGTTCTGATCTGAGTCTCTAATATGTACCTAGTCCCTCTTGCTATAGTTCAGAGCCAGTGTGTATCACAGTGGGTTTTTGTTTGGGTCTCAAGCCTGCCACTTACTAGTTACATGATAGTGGGTAAGTTAATCCCTCTCATCCTTTCTTTATTTGTAAAGAGGGACTAAACCAATTTCAAAAGGTTGAAAGAATTAAGAGATACCCATATGACTCACTTATCTAGGGATATGGTAAGGGCTTAGTGATATTAACTATAATTTTTAAAGTAGAAATGACATTTACTGAGTATATTATATGTAATATGAAAAATGCTTCTTATGTTAACTCACCTAATGGTCAAATTAATTGAGAGAATAATTATTATTCCCATTTTATAGATGAAACTAAAGCTCAGTAAGATAATTAAATTTGCCCTAAATCATAGAGCTGGTAAATGTTAGAATTAGACCTGGAAAACAGGTTACTCTAAAGCCTGTGCTCTTTCCATTATTTTATGATACTTCCCTAAAATGAATTCTTAAAGTGTTTAACACTGAAATAAGCGCAAATCAAGCTCTAGTAGTATTATTTTATATCATATTATGTCTTATTTATGTTTTAAAAATCCTCCTTTTGGATTACATTTAGGAGACTACTTCAGAAATATTGTTTTTCATTTTCTTGACTTAATATTACCCTAAAAATTGTTAAGTAAATCTGGGTTCTCCAAATCCAGTGTTAAAGTGGTCAAAATGCACTGATTTGCTGTGTAATTGCCATTTAATATAACATGGATGTTTGTCTATTCAATTCAAGAGCCCATGTTACAATAAGATGTTTTGACAGCTACAAAAATGATTGTGCTTTTAAGAAGTTTAATGAGGATGGGATGGGGTGGGGAATACTTAGGGAGGTTCTCAAGAAACATCAAGGGAGTTTATGCCTACAGAGCTTTCTTATCTTATCACACACAATAAAATCTACTACTTGGAAATTTCATGACTCTAAAATAGAAACACATTTCCCATGAAAACCTCTCTGTTCTTTCAGACCTTCTAGACTCCTTAGGATTTCCTCAATACCCTCCCACTTATACAACTTCTTTTAAAGGAAGCTCAAAAACTGAAACAATTTTACAATCAACATAAAACACATTTCCTGCCATTTCCCTTGCAAAAGATGCCTCAGAGCCTCCCATGGAATATCAACTAAAACCATAGCAAAACCTGAAGTACCGCTACACAATGTACGGTGTTTTCTGTTTCCTCAGATTATTAGCATATTTAAGGAAATGAGCTTTAAAGGTAGTATAAACAGCAAGAAGTTGTTATATTGTACCACTCCTATGTATTACATTTTTAAAACTTTATTAAAGATATTTGTAGACTATAAATCAATAAAAGTTACCAAAAAGGGAAAGTAAACTGCCTAAGGATTAATATCAACTTAAAAACAGTGTTACTGCGGGCAGAATAGAATTTTTTTAACTTGATGAAATAATGCTTAAACTTATGTGAAAGAAACAATGCATAAGAAAAAAATTTTTTTTCTGAAGAGTAGTGAGGGGGAATATTAAACTATATTATTATGATTCAATAAATAAAACTGCATGGTACTGATATGGGGAAAGATTCAATTGATTAAAAGAGAGTCCAGGGACTTCCCTGGTGGCGCAGTGGTTAAGAATCTGCCTGCCAATGCAGGGGACACGGGTTTGAGCGCTGGTCCAGGAAGATGTCATGTGCCATGGAGCAACTAAGCCCATGTGCCACAACTACTGAGCCTGCCCTCTAGAGCCCACGAGCCACAACTACTGAGCCCATGTGCCACAGCTACTGAAGCCCACGCACCACAACAAAGAGTAGCCCCCACTCGCCATAGCTAGAGAAAGCCTGCGTGCAGCAACGAAGACCAGACACAGCCAAAAATAAATAAATAAATTTATTAAAAAAAAGAGGGCTTCCCTGGCGGCACAGTGGTTGAGAGTCTGCCTGCCGATGCAGCGGACACGGGTTTGTGCCCCGATCCGGGAAGATCCCACATGCTGCAGAGCGGCTAGGCCCGCGAGCCATGGCCGCTGGGCCTGCGCATCCGGAGCCTGTGCTCCGCAACGGGAGAGGCCACAACAGTGAGAGGCCCGCATACCACAAAAAAAAAAAAAAAAAAAAAAAAAAAGAGAGAGAGGGAGAGAGACAGAGAGTCCAGAAACAAATCCAAGCACAATGAAAATTTAGTATATGGAAGTTCCTCATTTCAATTCAGTGGAGAAAGGACTTATGATTAAATAAATGATGTTGGGACAAGCGGATCACCATTTAGGAAAAATAATACCATTTAAGGAAAATATAATACTATTTAAGAAAAATATACTTCATACCTTACATCAAAACAAATTCCAAATGGACTAAAGATTTGAATATAAAAAAACTATAAAAACACTAAAAGAACATACAGGCTTGGTTGTGAGGAATAACTTTCTATGCACAATACTAAAGCCAAGAAAAAAATTTTTAACACTGCTGGATTTGATTACATAAACATTTAAAAATGTATAGGGAAAAATCCCTGCAAAATTAAAAGACAAACAACATATTAGAAAAATCTTTACAAGCGGCAGAGAAAAAAATTTTTCACGTATAAGATCTATAAACGAGGAGAAAACAAACTCCTCTAGAAATGTGGGCAAAGAGTATTGCTTTAGACTGCTAGTTGAACCCTGAAATCTACTCTCTCTTCCTTCCATAGTAATAGATTTTTAGCTGACACATGGCCACCCAGCTAGAGAATGTATTTTACAGCTTCTCTTGCACTTAGGTGTGGCCGTGAAACTTCAACGTGACCTAAAGCAATGTGCGCAAATTCTTTTTCACTTGTTTAATAGTAAATTACTTTCCTTCGATGATATTTTCCTGGTTCTTTCTTCCTTCCCAGAGGCTGGAATATGGATTGAAGGTAATCCATTTCTGTCAATCCAGGTAAGGATAACACTAGGGGATGATAGAACAAGACAATGTAGAACCTGGGTCTCTAAATTACTATGGTGATCAGAACCACCAGACCAGCTGGGACTACATACCTGTTATGTGGGAAAGAAATAAACTTATTTGAACCATTATATTTTTGAGTCTCTTGTGCTAGCTACTTAGCCTATATCCTAACAAACAGAATAAAGGAGGATATTCCCACGAGAAGGAAATATTGATGGCTAATTCATTTGTGAAAAGACATTCCTTCTCTGTCATAGTCAAAGGAAGGCAAATTAAAGCAACCATGAAATAATATTTAGACACCGTATCAGCAAAAACTAAAAGACTGATAAAATTGATAAAATCTAGTTTTAAACAAGTATGTGAGGAAACCAGCACTTTTATGTTGAAAATGTAAAATGGTACCATCTTTGGTGAAAATAACAGAACGGGAGAGTACAAAGATACATGAATACAAATGATCATCCCAATGTTGTACATAAAGCAAAAAACTGGAACCAAGGTGGGATGAGGTAAATAAATTATGCACCTCCATACAGTGGACTGCTATGAAGCATTAAAACTGATGATTTGACTGATAAATCATCTTTAGTCATGATAGCAGACCACTTAACACAGAAGATAAAAAACTAGCTTGGGGCTTCCCTGGTGGCACAGTGGTTAAGAATCCGCCTGCCAATGAAGGGGACATGGGTTTGAGCCCTGGTCCAGAAAGATACCACATGCCACGGAGCAGCTAAGCCCATGCGCCACAACTACTGAGCCTGTGCTCCAGAGCCCTTGAGCCACAACTACTGAAGCCCGTGCCCCTGGAGCCTGTGCTCCGCAACAAGAGAGGCCACTGCAATGAGAAGCCTGCGCACCGCAGCGAGGAGTGGCCCCCGCTCGCCGCAACTAGAGGGGGCCAGCGCACAGCAACGAAGACCCAACGCAGCCAAAAATGAATAAATTAAATTAAAAAAAAACCCCAAAACTAGTTTGTGCTCTAGGAAAGCATATATCAAAAAAGAAAATGACACACTGTAGTTTGATAAAGAAAACAAAATTTATAATCTTTGAACTCTATCATGAAAAGAATTTTGCAGCATAGTAGATTAATATTATAATTTTATTGTTACGTTATAGGTTAAAGTGCTTTGTAAAACTGAATCAGATTTTGATAGAGGGTAAAACTTTTTTTTTTTTAATTAATTTATTTTTGGCTGTGTTGGGTCTTCGTTGCTGTGTGCGGGCTTTCTCTAGTTGCAGCGAGTGGGGGCTACTCTTCGCTGCGGTGTGCGGGCTTCCCATTGCAGTGGCTTCTGTTGTTGCAGAGTACAGGCTCTAGTTGCGCGGCCTTCAGTAGTTGTGACACATGGGCTCAGTAGTTATGGCTCGCGGGCTCTAGAGCTCAGGCTCAGTAGTTGTGGCGCACGGGGTTTGTTGCTCTGCGGCATGTGGGATCTTCCTGGACCAGGGCTCGAACCCGTGTCCCCTGCATTAGCAGGCGGATTCTTAACCACTGCGCCACCAGGGAAGTCCCAGAGGGTAAAACTGTCTTTAAAAGTAAACTTTAATGTTACTGCTTTGAGTTCTCAGTCTACCACATGATGCTTTGCAGCTTGGTTCTTCTCAAACTCTTCTACTGAAATAACTTTTAATACCACAGAAACTGAGTATTTACTCCCCAAAGATGCTGAAGAAGCCAAAGGCCCCACATTTTTAGAAGTCTTGTGTTTTATCTTAAAAGTTCACATACATTTGGCACTCTACCATTTACATGACTTCGTTTTACTGTAACACAATTATGTTTTAAAGTACTTTCAAATTTAATTGGTTAACATGTTCCCCTAAATCTTTTTTGCAAAATTAGTTTTGCAGAAAACATGCCACATTTATCTTGTGCACTTTTCTAGCTGCAATGTACATACATAATAAAAAGAACAAAAGCTTTGGATTAAATCCTAGCTTTGCCAACTACCTGTCATACGAAGCTGGGCAAGTCACAACCTAACTAAGGCTCCATTTACTCTTCTGTATAATGCAGGTGACAATGTCTAGGTGTGGGTCTTTATGTAAAAGGGTAGTGCAGTATTTAACAAAGTTGTATGCACATTTGTTAAATTTTATGCTTTACAATGTAATGAACATTTACATTTCACCTTGTTTTCAGTTATGACTTGACCATGATGCATTTTAACTATCAATTATTATTCTACCAGCTTCCACTTTATTTAGCAATTGAATTAATACCTGTAATTGTGCTTTCCTTAGCTGCTGGCTGGTAATTTGAGCTTTTTGTTGCATCATATTTTCAATTCGTTGGTTGACTTGCTTTTCTTTCTTGAGCTCATTTCCATAAAATCTGGACCCCTACATAGGAAAACAAAATATAAGAAGAATGTTTGAAGGAAGCATCACTGTGAACCTGATGGCTAAGAGCACAGACTCTAGAAACAGAATGACTGAATTCAAAACTTACCTCCATTACTTACTAGCTGGGTTACCCTAAAATTAATCTTATTATGTTTTAGGTTTCCTTATCTGTAAAATGAATTTATAGTTATCTAAATCATAGGAATCTTGTGAGGCAGGATGTAGCACAGTACAAACTCTAGAGATGAGTACAGATCTGCACTCAGAAAATAACAAAATAACAATGTGTCCTAGGTGGGATCCTCCGGGCATATCCAAGGCCTTAGTCAGCTGAGTCATCAGTTATCTCCTTCACTTTCACTAAAAAATTATTGTAAAAAATTAACTAACAGAAACCTCAATTAAATAGAGTCAGAGGTCAGAAGGGGGAGCTCTCATGCCCTTTGATGATAGTAGAAAGCAAGACAAAGAAGACTCCTCTTCTTTTCTGGCAAGAACTCAGCCAATAAAAAGTCATGGACTCTGTTTACTATACCCTTGCCAACTTCCTTTTCCCTTATTGGAAAGAGTTTTCCTCTCCAGTTTTGCTGGGGACTTGCATTTGGCTTGCCATGGTTGCAGACCTTGAACTGCAATTTTCCGCTGATCTTGAATAAACATATTTTTTTAGTGGAGAAATAACTGGCAGTCTAGTTGTTTTAGGTAAACAGTACTTTAACAAATTTAATGTTAGCCATTAAATAAAATGTAGAAAATAACTTCTAGAAAATCATCCGTCATTCCATCACTGAACATACTATCTATTTATAAGGTTGATGGACATTTAATTATTTTCACTTTTTGGCTATTACGAAAAGCGCTGCAATGAACAATTGTGTACACATTTTGTGTGGACACATGTTTTCATCTTCCTTGGATATGTACCTAGGAGTGGAATCTCTGCGTTATATGGTAACTCCATGATAAACCTTCTGAGGAACTACCAGACTGTTTTCCAAAGTGGCAGAACCATTTTACAAACCTACCAGCAACGTATGAAGGTACCAATTTCTCTATATCCTTGCAACATCTGTTACTGTCTATCTTATTTTTTTAATTAATTAATTAATTAATTTATTTATGGCTGCGTTGGGTCTTCGTGTGCGGGCTTTCTCTAGTCGCGGCGAGCAGGAGCTACTCTTTGTTGCGGTGTGCAGGCTTCTCATCGCGGTGGCTTCTCTTGTTGCGGAGTGTGGGCTTCAGTAGTTGTGGCACGTGGTCTCAGTAGTTGTGGCGCACGGGCTTAGTTGCTCCATGGCATGTGGGATCTTCCCAGACCAGGGATGGAACCTGTGTCCCCTATATTTAGGCAGACTCTTAACCACTGTGCCACCAGGGAAGTCCTGTCTTATTTATTACTGCCATTCTAGGCTATAATACTATGAATGGCATCTCATTGTGGTTTTAATTTGCCTTTTTCTAATGACTAATGTTGAATATCTTCTCATGTGCTATGAGCCATTCTTATATCTTCCTTAGTGAAATGTCTATTTATATCTTTTGCACATTTTTTGATTGGGTTGTCTTCTTATTTTGCAAATATTTTACCCTAGTATGTTGCTTATCTTTGTATTTTTTAATGGTATCTTCTGAAGTACAAACATTTTGAAATTTGATGAGGCCCTATTTGTCAACTTTTTCTTTTACTGACTGTGCTTTCAGTGTTGTATCCATGAAATGTTTGCCTAACCAAAGATCTCAAAGATTTTCTCCTATCTTCTGAAAGGTTTATTGCTTTAGTTCTTACATTTAAGTCAATTTTGAGTTAATTTTCAGTGTATGGTGTGAGTTAAGGGTCTAATAAGTTCATCTTTTTTGCATGTGGATATCCAGTTGTCCCAGTATCATGTGCTGAACAGACTATCCTTTTGCCTTGGTACAAATATCAATAAACTATAAACATTTATTTCTAGACTCTCAGTTCTGCTCCATTGTTCTATATGTCTAGCCTCATGGCAGTAACACATTGTCTTGATAACTGTAGCTTTATAGTAAGTTTTGAAATAGGAAAGTCAGACCCCCATGCTTGTTCCTTTTTACAATTGTTTTGACTATTTTAGATGTTTCTCATTTCCATATAAATTTTAAAATCTGTTTGTCAATTTCTGCAGAAAAAAAAAAGCCACTGGAATTTTGATGAGGGAAGTACACTGAATCTACAGATCAATTTGGGGAGAACCACCTTCTTAACCGTATGGAATCTTCTCATCCTTGAATAGGCATATGTCTCCATTTTTTAGGTCATTATCTTCCCTCACCAAGTTTTTGTAATTTTCAGGGTACAATTGTTGCACTCCTGAAATTCCTTAAGACTTTCTATGTATTAGATCATGTCATCTGTGAACAGATAGTTTTAGTTCTTTGTTTCCAATCTTGATGCTTTTTATTTCTTTTAGTTGCCTGACAGCACTGGCTAAAATGTTCAGAACTAGGTTGAAAAGAACAGGTGAGACTGGACATCCTTGCCTTGTTCCTGATTTTCGGGCAAAAGTGTTTATAGTCTTTCACCATAAAGTACAATGACAACTATAGGGTTATTTTTTTTGGATTTTTTTTGTTTTTTAATTTTTATTGGGGTGTATATGTTTTTATAGATGTCCTTTTTAGGTTGCAGAAGTTCCCTTCTATTTCAAATTTATTAAGAGTTTTTAGCATGAATGCGTATAGGATTTTGTCAGGTATGATTTTTCTGCATCTATTGACATGACCATGTGTTTTTTGTCCTTAATTCTATTAACATGGTACAGTACATTAATTGATTTTTGGAGGCTAAACCAACCTTGCATTCTTAGGATAAATCCCATTTGGTCATGCTACATAATCTTAATATTTTGTTGGATCCAGTTTGCTAATATTTTGTTGAGGACTTCTACATTTATAAAGATCTATTATCTTCTGTTTGTCTGACTTTAGTATTAAGGGGATACAGGCCTCATAGAAAGAGCTGGGAAGTGTTCCATCCTTCTTTATTTTTTGGAAGAACTTGTGGAGTATTGGTATTATTTCTCTTTTAAATGTCAAATAAAATTCACCAGTGAATACCCAGGAAAAAACCATAATTCAAAAAGACACATGCACCCCAATGTTCATTGCAGCACTATTTACAATAGCCGGGTCATGGAAGCCACCTAAATGCCCACTGACAGATGAATGGATAAAGAAGATGTGGTACATATATACAATGGAATATTACTCAGCCATAAAAAGGAACAAAATTGGGTCATTTGTTGAGACGTGGATGATCTAGAGACTGTCATACAGAGTGAGGTAAGTCAGAAAGGGAAAAACATATATTGTATATTAATGCATGTATGTGGAACCTAGAAAAATGGTACAGGTGAACTGGTATGCAGGGCAGAAATTGAGACACAGATGTAGAGAACAAACGTATAGACAACAAGCGGGGAAAGCGGCAGGGTGGTGGTGGTGGTGTGATGAACTGGGTGATTGGGATTGACAGGTATACATTGATGTGTACAAAATGGATGACTAATAAGAACCTGCTGTATAAAAAAAAAAAAAAAAATCACCAGTGAAGACATCTTGACCTGATCTCTTTTTTTCCTTTCGGAGGGGGAAGATTTTTAATTACTAATTTAATTTCTTTCCTTTTTATAGGTCTATTTAGATTTTCTGTATCTTCTTAAGTCAGTTTTGGAAAATTGTGAATGTCTAGAAATTTATCCAATTTATTGGGATTTGTTTTAAAATACTCTAATTTCCACCTCCAAAATTCAGTAGGGAGAAGTAAGTGAGAAAGATGAAACAATATTTGTAAAAATGTTGATAATTATTGATTCTGGGTGATGATTACCTGGGATTCACTATACTATTCTAATTTTGGGTATGTTTAAAATTTTCTGATTAAAGTTTTTAAAAAGTAAATTGCTATGGAGTGGCAAGAATTAGAAAATTTCAATTTAAGAAAGATATTTCAGATAAACTCACCCCTCCTCCCTACTAGAGGGAGGGAGGAGGGGTGAGTTTTATATTACATATTATATTTTATTATATTTTTTATATTTTATTTTTTATATTTTTATTTTTTATATTTTATTATATTTTTATTATATTTTATATTACATACTATATTATATAAAGCATATATAAAGCATACAAATATATTAATATATAAAATACAAATATATTAATATATAAAATACATAAGTATCTATTCTATGATTGCTACATATTAATATCATACAAAATTTATATGGAAGAGCAAAGATTCAAGAATGCCTAAGATACTCTTGTAAAAGAACAAAGGCCAAAAAAAGAGAACTTGTTCCAACAGATATCAAGACTTTAAAGTATTGTATTTAAGATCATGTTGTACAGTGCAAGAACAGACAAATAATCTATTAGAACAGTAGAAAGCACTGCAGATCAGTAGGAAAGGATGGACTATTTAGTAAATGGTACTGAGACATGAGGAAGAAAGAGGGAATATCTGATAGGGTCATCTAAGATAACTTAAATATTCTATTTCTTAACTTGAAAACTAGGATCATAGGTTTTACACTTTGTCTTTTAAAAAATTGTTATGATGAAAATTTCAAAGAAGTCTGAAACAGAAAAATATAAAGGTTGCTATAATAAATATATAAAACTATCACTGAGATTTAACAACTGTTAACATTTTGCTTAATTTCCTTCAATGATTTTTTTAAGTGAACTGTTTTAAAGTAAGTTATAGATATAATGACATTTAGCTATTCTATAGAGTATTTTAGCATGCATCTTTAAAAATAAGGCCATTTTCCATAGTAATATGTAATCATAATAACATTTCATAACTAATAAAATTAACAATAATTCCTTAATATTATCTAGTATCCTCCCTATATTCAAATTCCTCTAAATGTTCCAAATGTATTTGTTCCAACCAGGATCCAATCCATACGTTATATGGATTCCTTATTTCATCTCTTATGTTATTTCATCTCTTATGTTATTTCATCTCTTATGAATCCATATGTTATATGGATTCCTTATTTCATCTCTTAATTATCTTTTATTGATACTTTTAAAATTGTATCTACATTTTATATGCTTAAAAAATTATTTTTCCCTCAACTCTTTATTTTAGAATTTCCAAATATTTAAGAGTTGAAAGAATAGTACAAGGAACACCTATATGTCCTCACCTAGACCGACCAATTGTTGATATCCTGCTACATTCGGTTTCTCTCCCAAATCTTATGTGTGCTTGTGTGCGCACACACACACATACACACACACTCACTCTCTCTTTCTCTCTCCACCCTCTTTTTTTGGCTAAACCATTTGAGAGTAAGTTGGTGCAGTTATCAGCATGCATTTGCTAAGAATAAGGATATTCTCTTAAATTTTACACCTTTCTGCATGGATATTTCATAATACATAAATGAAACCCCCCAAATGGTAGAAAAAACCCATTAAAGAACACTTTTATGATCTTGGAGAAAGTCATATGTAGTTAACTAATTCAAGTACGTAAAAAGAAGCAAACGAAAAACTACTGCACAGGACTAAACTACCATGAGCAAAGTCAAAAGGTAAACAATAATCCAATGGAAAATTGTGCAAAGGGTTAGAAGAGACAGTGTGTAAAAAATACACATATAAGTGGCTTTTAAACATATGAAAAAGATGTACAATCTCACTTTTCGTAAGAGAAATATAAATTAATGTGACCCTATGTTACCATAGACTGGCAAATCCAGAAGTATAGTAACACACTACGTTGGTATGGTTGCAGCATGGTAAAACATACTCTCACATATTGGCAGTGGAAATGTAAATTGATACAACTACTATGGAGGGCAATTGCACAATTAATTAAAAACTGCGCATGCATATATCCTTTCATGCTATATGTATTTGGTGGAATAATTCCACTTCTGGGAATCTCTCCTATAGTTATATTTGCACATATGTAAAGTTATGAAATACAAGCTTATTCACTATAGTATTGTTTGTAAAAATGGAAGACTAGAAATGACATTATATTCCATCCATAAAGATTCTGACTAGTTCAATAAAGTATAGTACATCCACATACGCAGGCATAAAAAAGAATGAAGATCTCTAGTTTCTTATACAGAAAGACTTCAAAGATATATTAACTGAAATAAAAACAAAAAACCCACAATTGTACTATTCTCCTATTGGGGTGAAAAAAAATGGGTGAAAAAAGAAGATATATGTTATTTTGCTTTAACATGCATACTATGTGCATGTGAAGTAGAAAACTGGATGGCAAAAGCAACAGAAGAGAAGGGAAATTATTCTATATGCATTGTAGCTTAATAATTTTATATATTAAAATATTTAAAATTATAATTAAAAGGATATTTAAAATACTAATTTTCTTTTAAACAGAAAGTTAAAAAGTTACTAAATTAAAGATATTGAAAGAAAAAAGAAACATACCTTTGTGGCTTCCATTATAATTTTGTTAATTTTCTCTTTATCTAATCCTTCCATTCCGGCTTTATTATCATTAAGTCCCACCCTTAGCAGAAGATCATCTTTGTAATTGTCATTCTTCTCCTTTGTGCTGTCATTCTTCTCCTCTGTGCTATCCATGGTGTAAACTTAAAGTAAAAAAAAAAAGTTAAAGTTAAAATGGCTTTTTTGGGAGAGGGGTGGACATTTAAAAGTTAAAATGATATAGAAATCAGCAAAATAAAAATGACAGTTAAGATTTTTTGGCTACGGAGAAATAATTATTACTCAGATTTTAAAATTATTATCCCAAGATTACCATACTCTTGGAGGGAAGAAAGGAATCAACATTTCCTGCCAACCTATGCTAGCCACTATGCTTGGTGCTTTACACTTGAATTTTACACAGCAGCCCTGAAAGGTAGATATTATTATTATTATTTTTATTTTTTATTTTTTGCAGTACGCGGGCCTCTCACTGTTGTGGCCTCTCCCGTTGCGGAGCACAGGCTCCGGAAGCGCAGGCCCAGCGGCCATGGCTCACGGGCCCAGATGCTCCTCAGCATGTGAGATCTTGCCGGACCGGGGCACAAACCCGGGTCCCCTGCATCAGCAGGCGGACTCTCAGCCACTGCGCCACCAGGGAAGCCCAAAGCTAGATATTATTATTCCCAATATAAAGAGAAAAGAAACCTAAGTTTTAGAACATGCCTAGCGACACAAATTTGATAATAAGTGACAACATCTGTGTCCGACAGTTCATGGTTTTCCCATATTAATACACTGTATAAGAAATAAATACAAAATAACAGTTTCCATGCCTAACATTAAGATCAAAAACATTTATTACTTACTGTTTGCAGAGTTCTATTCTTAAATCAGTGAAAAAATATAGGAAGAAATATCTATCTACTTCCAGGAAATCATTACATTTTACAATGTTATGTCACTTCTAAGGTTAATTTCAAATAATAATTCTTTAGTGTCTTTATATAATTCTTTATAATTTACCTTCACATACATTCACTTTTAAAAACAATTATTACAACCATGCAAAGTAGACTTGCTCATTCTCATGTTAGGGAGAAAGAAATTTGAATTTCAGGAAGGTTAAATGAATTGCCCACCACAATGGGTAATTATGATAATAATCGATAATAAGCAATTATGATAATTATCTGATAATATGCAAAAGAACTAGGATTTCAATCCAAGTCTTCTTACTCCAAGTCTAAAGCAGCTACCATGACATCACAGCTACCTCCAATTTGGGCTTCACTTATACTACAAATAAATGGCCAGGTGAATATCTGCCATGAATCTACAACAAATTATGGCAGTGATTTCTCATTTGCATGACTTACAGAGGGTTCACTTATTCTACTCTGCCTTGAGGACCTTCCCTCCCCACTGCTCCCCTCCTCTTCCCTTCCCTTCTTTTCTTTTCTTTCTATTTAACATCCATCACTATAGTTGGTTTTTTTTTCGTGTGATGAGAACTTTTAAGATCTACACTCTTAGCAACTTTCAAGTATACAATACAGTATTAACTATAGTCACCAAGCTGTACATCTCCATGACTTATTTTATAATTGAAAGTTTATACCTTTTGATTCCCTTTACCTATTTCCCCCATCCCCCTACCCCTCACCCCTCCCATCCACATCCCATCCCTGCCACTGGCAACCACCAATCTGTTCTCTGTGAGTTGTTTTTTGTTTTTGTTTTTAGATTCCACATATAAGTGAGGTCATACGGTATCTGAATTTCTCTGACTTATTTCACTTAGCATAATGACCTCAAGAGGACCTTTTCTTGATAGCTGCTTCCATTTTTGACACCAGCAAAGAATAAAATAAATTATGGAAGGAAATTTGAATACTGTGATTATTAGTGACAGTTCCATTAGAACAAAAAAAGTGTATAACACAGTAGTTCTCAAACTTTGTGACACATTAGAGGGATGTCTGGAGGGACCTTAAAACTCCAGATGGCCAGGTTGTATCCCATACCAAATAAATCAGAAATTCTGGGAGTAGGAGCCAGATACCAGTATTTTTAAGAGATGCCCAGATAATTCCAGTGTGTCCTAAAGTATTGGAACCACTAGTGATGTTGTTTCTAGGTACCTAAGGGAATATAGGTTGATTTTCTGTTCTTATCATTTGAATTTTTTTCTCTTCAGCTTTCACATTCAGCCTAATATTATCCTGTATTTTGCCTTATGCTTTAGTAATCCAATAATTTATCATTTTCTAGTAAAACAGGTGAATGTAATTCATTCATAATTTCCCCAAACCAACACTACTGAAGAGGGAAGAGGCTAAATACAGACATCCTACATTTAAGCTGCCTTGTCCTTTAAATGTTAAAATGTACGAAAGGAAAAGAAACAATTATTGAATGCCTACTACTTCACATATAGTATATTACTTAGCCCCAAAACTCTGAGAATTGGTTTTGGTCCTTAATTGGCGAGAAGAACTGGGCTACCAGCAATACTGGCGCCAGGTAAAGTTGTGAGATAGGTAAAGTTAGTTTTCATTACCTTGCTGCCTTTTTTTTTTTTTTGGCCGCACTGAGTGGCTTGTGGGGATATTAGTTCCCCAACCAGGGATCAAACCTGGGCCCTTGGCAGTGAGAGCCCGGAGCCCTAACCACTGAACCGCCAGGAAATTCCCACCTTGCTGCCTTGTTGATGCCCCATCACCAGGTAACATATATCCAGTTTCATGGGCACAGACTTACTATCATCTACATGCTAATGACTTGCAAGTTTACAGCTCTAGTCCAAATGCCTGCCTGACATCTCAAATTTAGCAAGTCTGAAATTGACCTTCTCATCTGCCTCCATCCCCCAAACCAGCTCTAATTTCAGCCTTCCTCATCTCAGTTGAGGGCAACTCTAATCCCCTCCAATTGCTCATGCAAAACACCTTGTAGTGATTCTTGACTCTCCTCTTTATCACACCCCACATCCAAACTGTCAGGAAATCCTGTGGGCTCTACTTTCAAAATGCACCCTGAATGTAGCCTCCTCTCACTATTTTCACTGCTTTCACACTAGTCTGAACCACCATTATTTCTTGCCTGGATTATTGCAATAGCAATAATCTTAAATAGTCTCTGTTCCTACCCTTGCCCTCCTATAGTCAATTATCAACACAGTAGCCCAACTGATTCTTCTAAATCATGAGTTACGTCATATCACTCCTCTAATAAAAACTGTACAATGGCACCTCATCTCACTCCAGTATAAAACCCCAAATCTTTACAGAATCTGTATCCCTATTACCTGTTACCTGTCTACCCTCATACCTAATACTCTCCCCCTTGCTCACTGCTTTCCAACTTTGCTGTTCCTCAAATCAGCGAGGCACACTCTGACCTGGAGGCCTTTTGCACTGGCTGTTCCTTCCTCCTCGAGGGTTCTTTGGCCAGATATCCTCTTGTCTAAACCCCCTTATCTCCTTCAAGTCTTGGCTTAAATGTCACCTTCTTAATAAGGGCATATCCTGACGTCCCTATTTAAAATTGTAGCCTGATTATCCCTCCTACAACACCCTCTTTCCAATGCCCCACTGCTTTTCATAGTTTACTTACTTATTATGTTTATTGTCTACCTCTCCTGTGAAAATGTAAGTTCCATGAGGGCAGGGAACTTTTTCCCCCACTGATGTATACCAAATGCCTCAAACAGTGCTTGGCACAGAGTAGGTGGTCAATAAACATTTGTTAAATCATCAAACTCAGTTTATATCATTTTCTCATTCTTTTATTCACATAGCAAGTTCACATAATCACATTAAAAGATTGGGAGAAAAACTGCTTTTCTGAAGTTAATTTAAAAATACTTTGTTTTCTCTTATTTCAATATTACATATATAAGGACAAGTATATGAACTTAACCACTTTTGAATTTATGAGCCTTATTTTCCTATGAAATTTCATGGTTAAATTGGTTTATTAAAGCTTTCAGGACTTCTATTATAATATAAGAATATTTTGAATTTACATATTAGAATGCTTGCTAGGCTCCATTAATATTAAAAAATTCTAGCTGGTATTTCTACTTTGGGAAATTAAGTTACTGTTAAATTTAATTTGTTTGATTAATATTTTTCAATTATATCTAAATCTAAGAAAAATCAATGGACAAAGGTAATAAACAACATACTAAGTTTTAGTATACTTGGATCTCTATGAGTTCCTTTTGGTACTATCATTTGTGTTACTATGGTGAGTCTGCTTTTGTTGTTATTGGTTAGTATTTCTGTTACTTTCAAATTTCTAAAATTTCTCATTAGCACTGGTTATCTGTATTCTTCCCATTAGCTCTGAGTTTCTTTATCTAGAAGTCCACAAATTGAAAGGGGGAGCTTCTAGCAGAGATGATCACATAATATAACAAAGTATGATAAATTCCATATTTTTCTGGGAAGTGAGATTTAGTACTACTTCAAATGGCTTTGTACGGACAGCATATAATGGAAGTGCCTAGTATGATGTCTGGTACATGATAAACTCACAATCAATACTTATTATTTATTATTATTATTAAAGCTAAGTCAAATTTCCAGAGCTGTGAAAATCACTAGTCCTACTTTTCTTACTTCGCTCTTTAAGATAAAGAGACTCTAAAAGGGAACAGGGTACACTGTGAGCATCCTTGAGAAAAAGCTAATGTTCACAGATCATATAGATGAATTTTGTTTTGCTTCCAAAGAAGTATTTATCCTACGATTACTGTGCACTCACATATAGTCACATATATAGTCCCAATGTCTACGAATGGATATAACTGTGACTTACAAACAAAAAATTTTTTTGAGAAAGAGAATAGTCAAACATTTTTATAGTTCAATATTACAGAATACAGTCTGTTAACTTCAATTCAGAAGCTGCACAAACAGTAATGCACAGCTCAAAGGAAAGAACTCTGGGTTCCTGTGGTTTAGCATATTGGTTTAAAAGCACATTTTCTCTGAAAATATTCAAATTCTTCCAGTCTGATTCTACCACAGACTATTCTGGTTACCAGTTTAAAAATGTAAGGGCAACCTCTGTTTTGGTGATAGTAAGAAAGGAAAATTAGAATTTTTCAGAAGGAATTCTAAGAAAGAAGTTTTCTGTGGTAGGGTTCCTCCTCCGTATAAAAACCACACAAAACTATGTAAACAGTATCAAAAGTGCTTAGCATATTGACCAAAGTCACCTGGAATTAATCTACCAGGAAACAGGTAAAATATACTAAGGGTAACAGAGAGAGAGAAGGAGAGGATCAAGCAGGAGGGGAAGGAAGAGTGGAAAGAGGAGGAGGGAAAACTAAACTATAGTAGGGTCCTAGACAGAGCTTGCTTCCTATTTCTAACATACTGTAAATAACCAAACTCAATAACCAGCCCCCCCAGAAAACCTTTATATGTCTTAAGAACAAATATTATTTTTAAATCCCTCAAATGTTCAAATATTTAATGTCTGAACAGATTAAGCACCCAGTACAAAACTTCAGACTGTGATTAAATGTTCTTTTTACAATCTACACTTAAATACAGTGAATGTATCAAATTAAGAATATTACTCTAATTTTAATGTAGTAATTTCCAAATTAATGCCTGACCTGAAGTTTTCTTTCTCATTTCTTATAAAAAAGTTTTTTAAATTTTCAAAAAAATTAAAAAATCACAACCCCAAGACTTTAACAGATTAATTTGTTAACATGTTCCTCTCCAATTATTTTACACACACATATATGAACATATATACTCAAACTGCATGCCTACAATTTTTTAAAGAAATTAACATTTAAAAAATAAATTTATTTATTTAATTTATTTTTAGCTGTGTTGGGTCTTCATTGCTGTGCACAGGCTTTCTCTAGTTGCAGTGAGCGGCGGCTACTCTTCGTTGCGTCACACGGGCTTCTCATTGCGGTAGCTTCTCTTGCTGTGGAGCATGGGCTATAGATGCACAGACTTCAGTAGCCGTGGCACACGGGCTCAGTAGTTGTGGCTCGCAGGCTCTAGAGCCCAGGCTCAGTAGTTGTGGCACACGGGCTTAGTTGCTCCGCGGCACATGGGATCTTCCTGGACCAGGGCTTGAACCTGTATCCCCTGCGTTGGCAGGCGGATTCTTAGCCACTGTGCCACCAGGGAAGTCTCTACAATTTCTATATGATGGGAATTAAAGCACAGAGGCACCTCTGTATTTTTAGCTTTAGTTTTTTATATCTTTGCAAAATAAGATGTACAAAAATTTCAAAATTATTTGAGATAGGATTATCTGCACTATTTAAAAATTTATATGTATCACTGAGAGAAATAACAGAAATTATGTAACCCCACAGATCTTAAACCAAGGGGATGTATGCTAAAAGAAAACTTAAGTTGCGAGTTCCCTGGCGGTCCAGTGGTTAGGACTTGGCGCTTTCACTGCTGTCCCCTGGGTTCAATCCCTGGTTCAGGAACTAAGATCCCATAAGCCACATGGCTTGGCCAAAAAAACCCTCAACCTTTCACCAAGGATTTAAGGTCTATTCTTTAAGAGAGAACCATGCATATATTCTCTTCAATTGTCTTTTTCCTTCCTGAGTTGCCTATTAATTTAATTTATTTCAAAGATGAATGAGACAGAAGGCAGTCAAAAACCCTACACTCTACATAATCCTACAGATGTATAACATTCGCACTTAGAGAATAATAAATTGAAATTATCTGCTTCTTAGTACAGAATGAAATATATCCTGATACAAAACACATTAACTAAACATCAGTTCAGGGACTTCCTTGGCAGTCCAGTGGTTAAGGCTCCACACTTCCAATGCAGGGGGCACAGGTTTGATCCCTGGTTGGAGAACTAAGAGCCCACATGCTGTGTGGTGTGGCCAAAAAAAAAAAAAAGAAAAATCAGTTCAAAGGTAAATTCCCAAAGCTCAGTTTATACATTCCTATTCTGATGATGAGTTGCATATTTTGTAAAAAGTCTTCCAGGTTCTTTAACAAGGAAAACTTTGTTTATACTCACACAAAGGAGGTAGGCCAAGAGGTTCTTTCGTTGGGTATTAGATCAAGTCAGCACAAATATTTACTTTTGTAGACGTGATACCAAACAGATTAATTGTTTTAGTTGAGGTATATAGTAAAGCACACAAACCTTAAGGGATAGTTGAATACATATGGTCTTAGAAAAGGAGGAAAAGATTCTCTTGTGGTACCATTTTGGGTACTGTAATAACTTTTAAAATTCTACAATCTCAAATGTTACCATTTTAATATAGAATTGCATAAGAAGCCAGGATAATAAGGGAAGGTTACACCACTAGTAGGAAATTTCAACTATTATATTATCACTATACTATCTCCTATATTATTAGAAGGAAAATATTTAATAAGGTCAGAAAGAGTTGTACAGGATATTTTATTTTCCTGTCCTGGGAAGATGATCATTTCAATTACCTCCTCTGCCAAATGGCTCCAATTTTTTCTGAGCCCTAATCTTGATTCACTGCTGATTTCTTAAACTTCTCATAGCTCTAACAGTCTACGGCAGGAGTTTAAAATATTTTTAGCAACGTAACCCTTTCACATGAAATCTCAAACTTTTCCTTAAATCTTTGTTCTACAAATGCTGTACAGCTCTCTTATAATTTCTTCACATATATTCTATCACTAAAGTAAAAGAATAGGTAGCCTAAAGAAAAGGAAAAGTTAATAATAACCTTCATTTCTTTGGTTCTCCTGATTCCTTAGAAATACCTGTGTGAACACTGATATATACTGAAATTGTTACCAACTCCAAGACTGAACTAACAGTTTTCAGCTGACAATTGTTTACTATTGATGAATTTTAAAAGATGGTTTCCATAAGAAGTCAGGCTCTAAAAATCATTATTATTATGTTTTCTTCCTGGTCTTATACATGCCTGAAAACCAGAAACAAAAAATTAAATTAAACATCCAGAAAATCTGCCAATCATAGGAAAAAAAATTAGTAAGAAGTTGTGATTTTGTAGTAGTTAACCCAAAATGATTTAAAATATATCCACATGCCTCCCCCCCACCCTAATAAATAAAAAACTCCATAAGTATCTGACTTTTGTTCAGATTATACTCTGTTAAAAGAACTTTGGTTTTAAAAATTAACAACCTATTTGTAAATTATTACTAACATAGTTATGAAAATACATTTAAATAGACATGACATAGAAGAGCACCTGATAACAAAGGATCTGGAATTTATATTAAATTAGCAAAAATAATTATTCTTGATGAGATGATCTCTTTCAGGGTTATATGCTATAAGTGGGGGGTAATAATGATTTGGTTTTAGTGATACTAAATTTGTTTTGAAGCATCAACTAACATTAAAGGAAGGTTTGTGAAAGGAGCATAAATTAAAAAACCCTTGCAAAACACTGAGCTAGAATAATTTATTAAACTATAGAATTTGGTTCTTTAGTTTCTCATGAATTTTAACGGTGCTTAGTGATTTTTCTCCTGGGCCCTGTTAATTGCAATTCCTACAACTTCCCTTCAATCATCAACCAACTAAACTTATTCCATTAATCCATATATACTGAACACTCACTATGTGACAGGTAATTTTAAAGCTTTACTTGCTCTTTAATAATAATGTAACTGTTAAAAACATATCAATAGTTTTATTACTTATTTTTGTCTATATTTTGAAAGTCTAGCATTATTGTCTACATTCTTAGACATACATTTCTGTATGCTAGAAAATAATGAATCTATGAAAGATGTCGTATATATCTCATTTTTACAGCACCTTAATCAGGATCATCATATAGCAAGTTCTTTAATAAATACTTTAAATGAAGATGAAGATAACTGTATATTAATAAACTATATCACCATAACAGCATGCATATTCCATAATAATATTTTTCACCTTACTTGACTGAGAAGAGGACCTGAAATTACAGTAAAAGTGAAACAATGAAAGGGGTGGGGAGAAAAACAGAAAGCAAACACATTTACAAAATAACTATCATGAGGATTCTACCAGTACTTAAGAATACCACAATGCTCTATATAGTATGGCTTTAACATATTAACAAAATAATTTTTCAATGTAATTTCTCAATGTAATGAAAAGACATTAAAAGTTAGAGACTCAAAAGCTTGGGGAGAGAAACAGAAAGAAAATGTATACATGCAGAGAGTGCACACTAATATCCCTGTTCATCTATTACATATGTACACTATGTACTTTTTAGACTAAAGTATTTTTTACTGTTATAGTGAAACCTATTAAATGACAACTACCCCTAACAAGTTTTTAACCCACAAAACCAAATAGATATAAATAAAAGATAATGAAATACAATTTCAATTTTATTCAACAGTAAGAAAGAATAATTCTGCTTAGAACATGCCTGACTTGGCTTTCCTCTGAACAACAGGAAACAGGACAAAAGGATAGCCTACATGCTCTTCGAAATTCTGTTTCTGAAATCAGTCTTAATGCTGAATGTTAGAACTGTCCATGAGATGTGACTTATTCCTAAGTAGCTGTATGCAGTGTATTAAGGTATCAATGAGAACCTCCCCCTCCCCCCTCAAATAAAGTTGTCCTTGGAGAGTTAAATGGTAAAAATCAACACACAAGGGAGTCTAAGATATATATGCAAACTCACCTTAAGGATCAGAGTAACAGGCAAGTCCTAGCAGTATGAACATAATATAATAATAATAATTGATGTCAATAAAACAAAGTCTTCCAATCCAAATGGAGTGTGGGTAGTTAGAAACAGAACAAAGAAAAAGAAAGTAAGCAAGGTAAATATTGGCAATGCCTAGTTAAATATCCATCATCACAACAGGGATAACCTAACTTAGTGCTACTAATCATTTAGAATCATAATTGAGGAAAAAAATATGAGACTGGGATATAGTAAAAGGACATCAAGCCTATATTTGAAACCAAGATATGAGGAGCAGTCACAGGGCTGGGGAAAATGGTGAGAATTTTCGGGGCTCTTGAGCTAGTGAGGTGGGAAAAAGGATCGAAGTAAGAATTAAGAATGGGCATAACATAATTTTCACTATTCCTATAAGTCAATTACAACAGGATGGAAAGCATGTTATGAAGGTTCTATTACAGCTTTTACTTCTTCTAGCTTCTCACTATTTCTCACCTACTCCCTCCTCTGCTTTTCCCATCACTACTGCCAATGACTGCTACAGTAGAGGAAGAACAGAAAAGGAAGAAAAATAGTAACAGACAATAGTAATGCACAACACATATAAACAACAGTAATGCAGGGGAAGGGGAAGAATGAGGAAAAAAAAATAGTACCAGCATATATAGGAAGGAGAGAAATTCTGCAGCTGTCTGGCTGTGGGGACCATTCATACATAAAGAATGCACATAAACTGGTCAGATTAACTACAAGGCTCCTTTTACTCAACTAGATTTTATGATCGGCTTTTGGTATTTTTCTCAGCAACCGGAAAATCTGTTCAACTATTTTAAAAACTTGACAGATCCTTTAATTAAGTTAATTCATAGACTGGTACACTTGGGTTACTTACACTGGATATGAATATACCTGTAAACATCTAAGTCTAAGAGAAAATCACTAATTTGGGAGATAGGCAGGCCAGATGTTGACTATTGACAGGTAAAATGCAATCATTTTTTTGCACCAACTCAAAAGTTTAAGATACATAGGGGAGCAATGCCCTCAATATTCCTACATTCACTTTACAGGTTTGTATACGACCTCCTTATTTGAATACACTCACAAAGATATCACAAAAGAATTCTGTATAATGTCGTAAAAGATGAATACATGCAAGTTTCTTGTAGCCCCTAATATTTCTGAAACTGGTGCTTACATTATCAGAAATGGACATAGACGCATTCACATTTTACATAAATGAATATCCACTTTGATATACTTATGTAAATATCATTTTACAAATGCATATAACACCACAACAATTGGGATATACATAGTAATAAAAAGACTGGTTATACTAATGCCATTTATTAACTTAGCATTTATTTAATACACAACCAAAGCCATACGGTGATTAAGGATGAAGCCCTAGGATTCACCCAGGGACTGTCTGCTTGCTCACTCTGAACTCAGGGAGAATCACCATAGTGGCAGAAACTACACGATTCTTTAATAGGCCTGACAGGAACACTAAGCCTAACAGGCTAATATGATTGATTAATAGTCAAAACAGGAAAAGGAAAAAAAAAGCATTCAAAAGGGCAAGTAGTACAGGCTAAACTGGAAAAAGGCTTGCAGAGAAGCTCTTAAATCTTTTAAACTTCTGAACTTCATTTAGGGGACATGCTGAATGTCACACACAGAGTTATAAGCCATAAAAAGATCTACCAATTTATAATATTTCTAATGTGACAAGACTCATTAAACAGTTTACATGATAACTTGGTGGAAAGAGATCAGCAAACGAGGACAATCCTTTTTTCTTTAAAATTCCAAATAACCATTGTCTTCACTAAAAAGACCTGGAGCAGGTGGCCTACAGAGATCCAGTAGAAGTAGGATTAGATAACACGATTAGAGAACAGGATTTATCACTGTCAGGTGGTAGGAGTAAAAGTTACCTGCTTTTAACTTACAAAATACTATAGTTACATGTATACCTTTCTTATCTTGTTTTCTGTTCTAATCTCCTTGAATGCAGACCCCCACAACCCTCGCTCTTTTTTTTATCTGTCACTATTTTAAAACTACCCACAGGGCTTCCCTGGTGGCGCAGTGGTTAAGAATCCACCTGCCAATGCAGGGGACACGCGTTAGAGCCCTGGTCCGGGAAGATCCCACATGCCGCGGAGCAACTAAGCCCGTGCGCCACAGCTACTGAGCCTGCGCTCTAGATCCCGCGAGCCACAACCACTGAAGCCCACGCACCTAGAGCGCATGCTCCGCAACAAGAGAAGCCACCGCAATGAGAAGCCTGTGCACCGCAACGAAGAGTAGCCCCTGCTCGACGCAACTAGAGAAAGCCCACGTGCAGCAACAAAGACCCAACACAGCCAAAAATAAATAAAATAAATAAATTTATAACAACAACAAAAACTACCCACAGTAGTCAGCATAATATCCTGCATATTAGATGCTTGTTGAATTAAATTATTAACTGAAAGATAAGGTAAAATACATTAATTATATTGACTGCCTTCTATGTGCTGAGCACTACTCTGGGGACTAAAATTAGAAAAAAAGTGGATAAAAATTTTAAACTCATGTTTTAGTGGAACAAAATAATATATGCAGTCTAATACTGCACATATTAACCATTTATCATGTGCTAGTCTGTGCTTATGCCTTTGAAAAGAATTAATATCTGTGTGGTGCTTGACAATGAGATTTTCACATATGTTACATAATTCTTTCTCCTCAGAATGCCCCTTTTCTTACCACTAAAGTTAGAATATAATGCAAATTATATATACTAGATATGCCTATTGTTTCCAGTTGGCCTCCCACTCCCAACAAACCACAGAAGAAGTAGACTTACATTCCACACTTTTGGGAAGAGCTGAGTAGAGCACTGGCTGGCCAACTACCTATTTCTTTTAAGAATCTGAACTGAGAGACATTGAGAGAGCTCTGAAACTGACAGGTAGTTAAAACAAGTTGGACAACATGCAAGATGAAATTTGAAGAGACAAATAAACTGAGATTGAGAACACAAGAACATAGAGATGAAAGATATCATGAAGTCCCAGAGATGAATAGAAAAACACCAAATCCTCATTTTCCAAGTATTGAAATACGTGTACGAGGCCCAGCTGAGGATTCAGAGATCTCTACAATAACATCTCTTATTTGAGCTACCCCAAACATATTTCTGATTCCTTTAGTCAAAGAGCCTTGATAAGATCAATAATAGTATAATATCCAACTGGTCAACCAAAATAAACACCGATAAAAGTATTCCAATGTGGTTCATTCTGAAATTGTAACCTCCTACCATTATCTCCTTCCAATAGCTTGCTCAAATGCTATCCTACCACCATCCTTTGTCTTCAAGTATTGGGGCAGGGCGGGGTGGTGGGAGGGCGGGGAGGAAGAACTCAGACACACTACTGGGTAGCGTAAACTAATGCAAACTTTTTCGAGGACAATTTGATAGTCTCCCACTGTAAAATATTCTCTGTTTGAGCAGCCCACTATTGGGAATTTACCCCCCAAAAAGAGCTAGACAAGTGCACAAAAATAAAGTTAAACTAGTGTTTCTTTATAGCGTTTTTGTAACAGCAAAACATGAAAAATGTTGATTGCCCATCAAAAAAGGAATTCTATGCAGTCATTAAAACAAATGCTACGGGGCTTCCCTGGTGGCGCAGTGGTTGAGAGTCCGCCTGCCGATGCAGGGGACACGGGTTCGTGCCCCGGTCCGGGAAGATCCCACATGCCGTGGAGCGGCTGGGCCCGTGAGCCATGGCCGCTGAGCCTGCGTGTCTGGAGCCTGTGCTCCGCGACGGGAGAGGCCACAACAGTGAGAGGCCCGCGTACCGCAACAACAACAACAACAAAAAAAAGGCTACGAAATAGATGTTCACAATATACTGTTAAATTAAAAATGCAATTTGTACAATGGTAGAGTGTCCCCCCCATCACACACACAGACCTTCCTTGACTTATGATGGGGTTATGTCCCAATAAACCCATCATAAGCTGAAAATACCTTTAGGTAGGAAAAGTATTTAATACATCTACTGAACATCATAGCTTAGCCTAGCCCACCTTAAATGTACTCAGAACACTTACAATAGCCTATAGTTGGGCAAAATTATCCAATACAAACCCTATTTTATAATAAAATGTTAAATAGCTCATGCAATTTACTGAGTACTGTACTGAAAGCGAAAAGCAGAACATGTAATTTACTGAGTACTGTACTGAAAGCGAAAAGTATATGGGTACAGAATGGTTGTTAAGCCCTCATGATCATGTGGCTTGCTTCCACTGCCCAGCATCACAAGAGAGTATCATGTCACATGTTGCTAGCCTGAGAAAAGATCAAATTTCAAAATTCAAAGTATGGTTTCTATTGAATGTGTGTTGCTTTTGCACTATCATAAAGTCGAAAAATACTAAATTGAATCATTTTAAGTAGGGGACTGTCTCTATATGTTTATATTCTAAAAATTACAAATAGTGCTCTTAGGGGGGAAAAAAGAAGGGGGAATGCTTAAAAAACCAAGTACAGTCCTCCCTCAGTATCCACAAGGGATTGGTTACAGGACCCCCTGCGGATACCAAAATCCATGAATACTCAGGACCTCTATGTAAAATAGTGCAGTATTTGCCTATAACTTATGCATAGCCTCCTGTATACTTTAAATCATCTCTAGGCTACTTATAACACCTAATACAATGTAAATGCTGTGTAAATAGTTGCTGGTGGGCAGGAAATTCGACTTTTGCTTTTTGGAGCTTTCTAGAATTTTTTTTTTTCTGGATATTTTTGACCTAAGGTTGGTTGAATCCGAGTATGCGGAACCCATAGATAGGGAAGGCCGACTGTACCATATTTCACTGCTTCAAGAACACACATTTTTTTCATTTAAAAAATCGGGATGCTTCATATAATCCTTGTCAGTGAGACAGCAGTTGTGACATAACTGTCATTACGTATGTATCAAAATGTGAAGGATAGGGGTCAGCAGCTTGGGGAAAATAACTCTGAAGACAAATGATGGGGCCTTTTAAAGAAATCCTGTAATCATCAATTCTCTTGATGGTAAAGAGGAAAATGTATGGAAAAACAGGGACATTAACAACTCTAAGTTGAAAATTAATTTAGAACACTGTGTGTAAAGAGATTAATCTTTAATTTATATCATTTATAATTACCATTTCTTCTCACAAGTGATACATATACACATGCACAAACATACTCACATGATACATTTTTTCATACAAAATGGTACAAAGAGAAAAATTCAAGTGGTCCATAATTTCACCACCCAGATTATTATTCAAGAGATTAAAATAGGGCAAAAAAATCAGTTGTTTTATTCATATGCTGTATTTTGTTCACTTGTACTTTTGTTTTTAGACTGTTGCTACTCATAGATCATTACCTCTATTTCATAGATTAGTATCTCTAAGTTTTCAAAATCAAGTTTCTTATGTAAATCCCCAGTTTTTAACTAGTTATGTTTCAGCTGGGAACAGTATTATAAAGATTACAAAGAACAGTTAAATTCCCAGGTTAGCTAAAAAGGCCTATTTAACTCCAAATGCATCTTTACCATAATAAATACTGTGAGAATACAGAACCTATAAGCTCTGTTATGGACTAAATTGTGTTCCCCTCAAATTCATATTTTGAGGACCTAACTCCCAATGGGACTGTATATGGAGACAGGGCCTATAAGGAGATATTTAAGGTTAAGTGAGGCCATAATGGTAGGGCCCTAATCCAATAGGGCTGGTGTTCTTATTAGAAGAGGAAGAGGGACCACAGCCACCCAGACTGTGGTATTTTGTTATGGCAGGCTAAGATACTGCCGAAGGCTTTTTATAGCATCATTTAAAAACATTAGACAATGTCTTCAATTTCAACTTGGGACATCCTCTCCTACTACAGTTCTAGCATCAAGAAGAAATATTCCCGGGAATTCCCCGGTGGTCCAGTGGTTAGGACTCCATGCTTTCACAGCTAAGGACCCAGATTCCATCTCTGGTCGGGGAACTAGGATCCAACAATCCGTGCATCGCAGCCGGGGTGGGAGTCGGGGGGAGGCGCGACTGGTATTCCCTTCCATGCCTCTACCTGTTGATCAGTAAAATTGCAAGATTCTCACTTCCAGCACCTCTGGGTTTTTGGCTTCTGTGTCATTGCAGTGAGAGAGTGAGGTAGGGATGAAGGCTTTGGGATTGGTGTTTTGTGGAGAGAAAAGGTGGGAGAATGAGGTGAAGTGGAAGATGGGGAGAAAGAAGAGGAACTGAAGAACTCTAGTGGGATGAGAATGAACGCTGCAATCAGGATAGTTGGGCTCAAACCGCAACTATGCTCTTTACTGCTGTATGACCTTTGGAAAGTTACTTGACTTCTCTGGGTTCAGTTTCTTCATGTGAAATATTAGAAATAGAAATAATAGAAATAGGATAGCAATAATAAATTCTTCATTGGGGTTAAATAAGACAGCATAGACGTAAGCAGTGGGTAAATGAAATGCGCAAAATCATTAGCCGAATTAAGAGCATAGTTGCTCTGATATACTCATCTACAGGATATGTTATTTATTTACACAATTCTTCCCACTTTTAGAGGTATTCTGAAGCAAAGAAAAGAATATGATCTTTAAAATCAGATCTGTGTTCAAATCCTAAGTCCAACACTTAGTACCTATTTGGCACTGGATAAGTTACTTAGCAGCACTGAGCTTCAGATTCATTATCCTTAGAATGAGCCCAACAATGCTCACCTTATGTGGTTTATAGGGAATAAGTTAGATCAGATATGTAAAGTGCCTGACGGAGGCTAAGAGTTAATACTGTAAAGATGTCATTTTCTTCATAAAATAAGTGCATTCTTAATCCAAATTCCAACAGAGTGTTTCATGTAATTTGACAAGGTGTTCTAAAATTCATCTGGAAGAGAAGATATACAAAAATATCCATATGAAAAAGAACATCAGGAGAGTTTTGGTATTATATACGAAAATAGTATAAAGTTAAATAATTAAAACAGTATGGTATTAGCACAGGTATAGACAAGTAGATCAATGAAAAAGAATGGAGTCCAGAAACAGA